AATGAAGAATTCTTTGCCCTCTCTGTTTCACTTTATCCATGTCATCACTAGGTAATAAACTCATGCAGAAAAACAGTGCTCTGTTTCACACACATCAAATTCACAATGAATTCGGGCCCCTTGTGTCATAACAATTCTACTCCCCCATTGTGCTCCACATTGAATCTTCAGAGAGGTTGACCAGTGTGAAAAGAAGCACGGTAAACAGACAACATAAAGTCTATTTCCACACATGGCTGAACTTGTGGCATCTTCCAGCAACACTGCATTCATGTATGAGTTGTTGATGAATTCACCAGAGGAAGTTCCAACCAACAGCTCTAAACAATAACTGGTCTACCAGACTGAGACCGGTACATTTGTTACAGTCCAGTGGGAGTGTGAATGTATTCTATGTCCAATTTATGCTTTGTGAACTATGCCTATAAGCACAACCTTTTACAAACCATCAGAAATAACTCAAAGATGACTTTACTGCTTCCACCCCAGAACTGGAAGAGCAGAGAGTATGGACAGGAGAATAGGGTTCACATTTTTGTAGTGTTTCAAATTTCCAGTGGAAATTTTCTGCTATATCTTGATGGGGGTGGTGGTGGGGGGTGAGGGGGGGTTGGGGCTTACTGATGAGGGTACTAGTGTTTAGAATGATGGTCTTGTTCCATAACAGAACTGTTGGTGGGATAGAGGAACAGGTGGTAGGCCAGAATTAGATGTTTAAATAGGCCTTCTTCATCCAAACAAATCTTGTGAGGTTTAAGTGATGATTTATTATAAAATTAACAATTGCATTTTGAAAAAAAAGTACTTTTTACATTAGGAGGACATCTCAGAACACTTCACCGGATTCATTGTAAAGTGTAGTGTCTGTGTATTTTTGATGGTGAACTTTATTTGCAAAGGGCAGCAAAGAATGTTACTTGTCTTTTTTTGTCAGCTGAATGTCTGATACATTTGGAAACCCATCATCGTGCTTAAAAGTATCCAAACCAAACTGATAATTCCATGCATCCCACTTACGCACAGAAATTCCAGAGATAGATTGTTCGACTAGAATGTTATTTGTAAAGGGCAACAGACCAGGGTTGAATAGTAGTGATGTGGAGATCACAGAATATTACAATGTACAATTACATTTATATAGCGCCTTCCACATCAAGAGGACATCATAAAGCAATTGATTTGCTGGGCTACCTTACCTAAAATGCTTCAGTCATCTTATGCACTGGTTGAGTTAGTTGGATCGAGCAATGAGGGAGATTGATATGCTTCACATGTATTTTGTCTCCTTTTCTTTGCCTGTTTGTAGCTGTGGTCCTGATTGGAGCTCGAGACTGCGCTGGATCCCAGAGCCTCGCTACTCGGATGCTCCATATCCTGCTATTAAAGCAATTACATTTCCTGAGGAATTTCGACTGATGAGACATTTTCCTAGTAAGTCACTTATTTTAAGCTTTGACAATTGCTTTTCTGAAATGCTCACTGTTCCATGTTCTCAAGTAATAATATATAGGGTGAAAATGCAACTTGTGATGTGATAGTTATCATACTGCCAAAATGTTTTGTTCTTTTAAGTACAATTGGACATTCACTTCATGGTTGTTTGTGCAAAATTGTTGTTTGCAAATTGGTGGGTTCGCCTACAAATAGACAGTCACTACATAATAAAATCCTGTGAGGTATTTCAACGATGATAAGGTGCTGTATCAAATGCAAAGATTATTATTTCTTTTTTATTTGGTTGGTAATCCATTGAATTTTCCCATATTCTCCCCCACCCTCCACATACACACATACATCTCACCCAGGCTTAAAGGATCCGAGAGAGACTTTGGGCCTTTGTAAGTCCTATTTTATAGTTACCGCTTTGAACTACGACTTTTGGGCAGGTTCCTGGGCACTCTGGCCACTGAGCCTCCCTTGAGATTTTTGCAGTAAGCAGAGTGAGCTTTCTCCTTCACCATGATCTCTGTTCTGCACCTTCGCAGCACGGCTGGACTATTCTAACGCTCTCCTCGCCAGTCTCCCATCCACTACCATCCATAAAATCCAAATCATTCAGAACTCTGCCGCTCTCATTCTCACCCGTACCAAACTCCACTCCCCGATTACCCCAGTCCTTGCCAGACTGCACTGGCCCCTATCCCAGAGAGTATCTATTCCTGAAGACCGTCCAGGAGTGTGAACCCATGGGTGTTCCTGGCTTTGGCAGAAGGATTGGGTACGAAAACCGATTCCAAAAGTCAAGACAATGCTTTGGTTCCTTTTTTTATGACCTTCCTTTACATTGTGATGTCGCCGCGTGGAAATGTGAGATTCTTCTCCTAGAATCTCCTCGCTCTCACGTCTAATGAATGTCTAATGCTCATTTGAAGAGAAAAGGGGTAATGAAGATCCAATCAAGGTAAGTTTTGTTGTAAATATACTCTATGGAGGGCCTGTTGGGAATTGGAAGTGGCCATTGAGTGCAAGGCCCTGCAGGCCAGAGAGTTGCAAGTTCATATCTATTGTCTATCCTCAATTATGGAGTCTCAATTGAGACAACAACTGGTAACAGCACTATAATTGGCTTCAGTGCATCTGGATTAGAATGGAGAAAATCAACCTGGGTTCCTGACTACTCTCTGATGGCCCCTGCTGAAAAATGTGTGTCTGTATATGAGGATTTTGGGTGAGGGCAAGATTAGATTTAGTTAAGAAGCTCCCTATCCACAGTTGAAGAGTTTGCTAACCCTCACTATCAGTGCTCACACTTGAATAATGACCGTGTGCGTGAGGTACCAGAATATTACTGACATCTGGTCCAATGAAAGGGAAAAGAGTGAAACAACTTCAGGAGAGGAGGATGGAGGGAGAAATGTTATGTAAAATAGTCTTTCCCAGAATCTTTTGTAATTCGTGCACAATTTAGGTGCCAAGTTTAAGCCCCAGCTTTCATTTCTACCCCACATCTGTTCCCTGATCAGACCAACTTTTATCCACCTCCGTCACATTGCCCACCTCTGTCGGTACCTTACAATAAAAGCAGCCGAGACCTTCGTCCACACCTTCCCAGCTGGACTATTCCAATGTTCTCCTTGCTGGTCTCTCCCTAGCTCCACAATACACAAAATTCAACAAATTCAGAACTCCGCCGCCCAGATTCTCACCTGCACAAAACCTGTACCCCCATCACACTAGTCCTTGCCAGACTCCACCAGCTCACAATTACTGAATGGATCGATTTCAAGATCCTCTCGCTCGTTTTCAAATCCCTTCATGCCCTTGCACGTCCCTACCTATCTAATTTGCTTACCTCCCACTACTCCACCCGATGCCTCCAATTCAGCTGGCTCAGCCACTATGCCCCGAAACTCTGGACCTCTCTCACTCAATCCCTCTGCCTTGCCCCCTCCCTCCCCACTTTCCAATCCCACCTAAAGACCTTCCTTTTTGATCACGCTTACAGTTACCTCTCCCCTTCCTCACCCACTGGCTCAGTGCTAAAGTCCACCACTATCAGGAGCTCTGGGACACTATCCCACTTGAAGGACACTAAATAAATGCAAGGCATTTTTGTTCTTGTATTTTATATAATGGAAACAGAGAATATGTGAATGCCTGTATTAATGTAGACAAGTAATTTGATCATGTATTTTTCCAGGTAACTCTAAGACTAGCTGTATTCAATTTCCTCAGGGTAAATCCCCAAACAATTTATCTTTTGTAAAAATATTTTCATACCTGGGAGGAGAAATCATTAATATTTTGCACTTCTTGGCAGCAAGTTGTGACATGTGACAAGGCTGCAGAGCTTGAAGAGAGATGCTCAGATGTTTTAAGTAGGGTCTCTTCCCCCAGCGATCATTTATTGCAGGAACATGTATTGGGTTACATGGGGGTTAGTTTCTCTCCTTTTCTATTTATTTTTTAAATTGGTTTTCTGTTTGTAAGATCAGAAAGTCAAGTGCATTCATTGAAAAAAGTATTGGACAATTTTTTTTTATTTGTGTGGTAATGTATGTTGCAATGATATATATAACTTGCATTAAAGCATATTATTGGGCTCTTGCACCAATATAACCTCTGAATTGAAATTGGGTTCCATCAATTTTTAGTGATAGCACTGTTATCATGGGCATCACTTCAAAATGCCAAATTGAATGAGAGCAAGGAGCAAAGAAAGTGTAGGAAATGATCTGTCATTTGCCATATCTAAGCAGCGAGATAGCAAATAGTTTGCTGGCTACCTTACCTAATCAGCTGAATTCAAATCATTAATAATCATGCTTATGATGTAAGGTGGCCTGATCACATCTGGACTGGTTATTGGACTATAAAGGAGGGTGTTCAAGATCTAGAGGCAGTACACAGTAGAGCATTCAGACTGAGCCATAGTTTTGGGGATGAGTTGTGAAGAATAACTAAGTCAGATAAGACTCTTTAGTCTTGGAAAGAGCAGATCATATATAAGCAAATACGATGATTAGTGGGATGGCCCTGGCTTGGTGTGAAGGGAAAGTAAGCCTGGAATAATAATATCAGCTATGTCATGAACAACAACAACTTGCATTTAAATTTTTAAAAAGCACCCTACGTGAAGGGGCGGGTCGTGGAGCACTTAATAATTGAATAGTTTGGCAACGCACTGGGAGAAAGGGAAAGAGATGGTAGGCATGGTCGATGAGTAAAATCTTCAAGTATGATGTAAAACGAGCAAAGAGGGGGCAAGGAATTAAGGAAAGGAATTCCAGAGGATCAGGGCATCGAGGCAATAAGACAAGAGGAGACAAGTTCAAGGTTTTAAAAGACCACGTTTAAGACACAAACTGTTTTGTCACACAGAGTGTAAGCAATAGTTAAAACAGTTTATTACAAGCACAGCTGCACTTATGTAAGAAGCATAGGAGGACAGTAAGGTTGATATTCCGGAAGGATGAGATCAAATGGGCCCAAGGGGTTTCTTCATTTGAACATCACATGATCTGAAAAAGCATCCGTTCTCCTGTTTCTAACAGTGGCGAACAGAGATTCAATCAAGGAATGGAGCTTTGAGTATCCATTGGCAAATAAATTGGGAAAGCAGTGTTTCATTGATGGTGTGTACCTCACTAACAAGAGCAAAATGACCGAGATCACGCTAGCCATGATGTTAGGAAGGAAAAGACTTGGTAAGTTCCTTCATTCCTCTGGATGATAATAGTTCCTATCTCAAGCTAATAAAGCTGTATTTGGAGGCACCCATCATTATGTCCCACTGAGTGGCCGAGTGTTCAAGTTGCACTAACTATCTTGAAGAGTAGGCCATTTAGTGAGACATGATAATGGGTACCCACAAGTTCAATATTATGACTCTGGACAGCTTGATAGGCGACCTTAAGGTATTGACTGGAAGATACAAGGGGCATTAATAATTAAAACAGGTTATCTGCCCTAATTGTTCATTCATGTTTGTCTTGGGGTTATGGTGGACACCAATATTTGCTTGCACACTGCCCGTTTAAGATTATGATGAGAAGAAATGAAGAGCACTCTGGTCATTCTTGTATCTGTTCAGTAACAGTAACATCACAAGGTTCACTTGGCTGCCATTTTCCTTTTGGAGGTCTGAAAATGAACCAGCTTCCAAAGTAAGACTGAATTTAAGAATTCTCCACATTTTTGCACAATCTTAAATTTTAAGCAAAAATGGGCCTTAAATGCTAAGACTAGGTGGAATCTGAAATAAGGTTATTTCTTTATAATTCCAAGCACACATGCAGCTGTGTTATTTATACCAACATGCATTGCAACTTACTATATCTGCGGCAAGATTTGTTTTCATAGCATTCATAAAATCATAGAATCTTACAGCACAGAAGAAGGCCATTCAGCCCATTGTGCCTGTGCCGGCTCCTTGAAAGAGCTATCCAATTAATCCCACTCCCCATAACCTTGCAATTTTTTTCCTTTTCAAGTATATATCTAACTCCCTTTTGAAAGTTATTATTGAATCTGCTTCCACCACCCTTTCAGGCAGTGCATTCCAGATTGTAACAACTTGCTGCATAAAAAAAACCTTCTTACCTCCCCTCTGGTTCTTTTACCAATTATCTTAAATCTGTGTCCTCTGCTTACCAACCCATCTGCCAGTGGAAGCAGTTTCTCCTTATTTACTCTATCAAAACTCATCATAATTTTGACCACCTGCATTAAAACTCTACGTAGAACAATCCTGACAAGAGAACAGCTTCTCTGGTCTCTCCACATAACTAAACTCCCTCATCCCTGTTATTATTCTGCTAATTCTCCTTGCACCCTCTCCAGTACCTTTTAAACTGATGAATGTCGTAACTGACATTCAGCTAAGGATGCCCCATTCAATTGGTGCAAGAAGACATCCTTAGTTAAAGGTTATACTTGTGATACAATCAGGAGCTCGCTTGCGGGTGAATACATATTGCTCTCATTGTTATCTGATTACCATAATAATAATAATAATAATCCTTGCATTTGATATAGCGCTTTTCACGTCAGGAGGACGTCCCAAAGCGCTTCACAGAACATACTGTAAAGTGAATTGACTGTATATTTGTGGGCGAACGCGGCAGCCAATTGCGCACAGCAATGTCCCACAAACAGCCGTAGATTGAAAATTATTAATTTATTATTGTTTTGGGTTTTGGAGGGATTATTAATGTGAATCATTCAATTACATTATAACAATATTGATATCTGGACATTTCATACAGCAACATGTTTGTACATAGCAGAAGGATTCGAGGTGAGAAGACTAATTTGGCTTTTCTGTGATTGCACTACACAGTCATTGATTGCAGGAATGGGATCCCTGAGTCTACTCCAGGTGACAAGGCCTTTTATACTCCAGAATATAGCCCCGACTTCCACAAACTGAGTTCAGCTAGAACTCTGAATCACTTTGGGTTTGTTATTATTTCCTTTTAACTGAATAACTTGCTATCTGTTTATCCAATGTATAATTTCAAGAGAAACTACAATATCTGGTTTCAATGTATCTGTCAGACATGAATATTTTATTGTGCATGAATGGTAAATATGTAATGGAAAACATAAAATAGTGGGATCCGGATGTACCACTAAAATGCAATAGAAGGCCAAGGAATATTTGAGACGTGCTGAATTTCTACGCAGGACCAAAACATAGTTAAATCAGAAACTCAATAATATTTGGTATATATAAAATGATGAAAGGCATCCAATTATTGTGTCTGGATATGTTCTTATTGTATAAAATGCAAAGTAAAATGTTGACAATGAATCATTTATATTTTGTTCTCTAACATTGTGGAATGTTCTGCTTCAATATTTAATTCACACTCTTAAAATATTAATCTGTGGGTGCTCAGTTTGGAAGTCTGATCTACTATTTTATGTTCCTGTAGCATCAATAAACACAGGGCTGAGCCTCCTACAGCTTTGCAGAAGATGTATTATTTATCTTAGTTAAAGAGTTCTGCTTCATAAATTTTAGCATTCATTTTGCATTATGGAGATAAACAGCCAAAGAATTACCTCATATTATTCAAGGAGTTATATTGTGTTTGGGATCTTATCTGATTAATTTGTATGTGGAAGTACAACAACTACTTTGTCATTGAGGTTATGGTTTTATGATAGAGGTTACATTTATTTGGGACACATTTTACTTCCCAAAGCACTTCCTCCAGGTGCAAGGTGACATTTATATTGCCATTTTTCAAACAAGACTCCCCTCACCTCCATTCACTTAACTGTTCACAACAACATTCACAACAAATTTACATTTACAGTATTTTTATATTTTTCCTATTTTGATGTGTCTTTTTGAGGCTGAAGAGCCCTCCTTTATCTAATGTTTTGCATAGCTCAGCCATTTAACTATTTTTACATAGAATTACGTACATAGAATATACAGCACAGAAACAGGCCATTCGACCCAACTGGTCTATGCTGGTGTTTATGCTCCACATGAGCCTCCTCCTGCCCTTCCTCAGCTAAGCCTACCAGCATAACCTTCTATTCCTTTCTCCCTCAAGTAGTTAACTAGCTTTCCCTTAAATAATAATAATAATAGTTATAATAATAATAATCCTTGTATTTGATATAGCGCTTTTTGCATCTTTTAGACGTCTCAAAGTGCTTCACAGAATATACTGTAAAGTGAATTGATCGTGTATTTGTGGGCGAAATGTGGCAGCCAATTGCGCACAGCAGTGTCCCATAAACAGTCGTGGATTGAAAATGACCAATTTATTATTGTTTTGGAGGGATTATTATCAGGCGTGTGGAGTAAGGAAACTTCCCCAAGGTTTTGCCCTGCCTTGTGTGGTGCACATCCACAGATATGAAGAGACATCAAGGGACCATGTTGCAAGGATGGTCAAGATGCATTAAATTAAATTAAATGTATCAAAATACATCTATGCTATTCACCTAAACTACTCCTTCTTGAGAAGAGATCAGCAGAATCCCTTGAGCTAGGCTGGCTGCAAGGTAATGTGCTTGAAACACAATATTGGAATCAGGTCAACTTTCTGGAGCAGTCTGGTTTCTGAGCCAGGTGGGTCCTGAGCAATGTTGGTGACAGATCATCCAGCCTGGCCCATTGACAGGACTTGAAGGAGCAGAGATTTTTCATGCTCAGCTCCTATTAACTCTGTGAGCTAAAGCACTGACAGGTAGGGTGGTCCTAACTGGACAAGCAGAAGGAAGCTTGCCTAAGCTTTGTTCTTTGCCAATCTGTGTCTATTGCTCTTTGAAATAAGGTGAACGGTGTGTGTCCCTCCAGGGAGAGAGTTTACATTGCATTCCAGACACAGGGAAATTTCCATGTTGCTGGATAGCATAATTCCTATATATTTGACCATAAAACTACTGCTTGAGTATTATTCTAGTTGATAATATGAAATTAAGTTTGCCTGATCATGCAATAACATTTTAATGTTTTCTACTTCTTAGAATATCACGCAGATTGAAAAAGATTACTACTGTTACCCTCCAGAAAAAACCTGGAGTCCCAAGGTGAGTGGTAAATTAAAATTTTAGCACAAGGTGCAAATAATATATGGATATCCATTACCTGCCCCCACTACCTCTCTCCCGAGCTGCCAAAACTCTCATTCACACATTCGCCATGTCCACGCTAAACTATTCAAACGCCCTGCTACCCAGGCTCCCCACTTCCTTTCCACACAAGCTGCAGACTATCCAGAATGCTGCAGCCTATGCACAATGCCTATCAGACCCACCCTCGCTTGGCTTTACTGACTCCCCAGTAGCTCCCTTTGCTCAGTGAACTCGTTCCCTATCTGTTCCCACCACCCTGGGGACTTTCGGCCATTCTGCCCCTGCTCTCTGGAATTCCATCCCATAGTCCCTCAGACTTGCTTGCTCTTTCCCTCTTTCAAGGCCCGACTCAAAATGTGCGTCTTTGACCGTGCCTTCAGTCATCATTCCCCATCCCACCCCACTCGGCTCCCATGCTCAGCTCATCCAACATTGTGAACACTTTGAGATGTCCTCCCAACGTGAGAGGTGCTATATAAATTGTATTGCATTGTATAAATGTAGTCTATGGTATTCCTAAGAACCTGGAATCTATCCGTTCATTCTCAAATACTGCTCTGCTGTGGTAGCAAATATACAGATAATGATCAAATAACAATAGGTCAGATTATTACAAACTGCAAAATGCATAAATCATGTTGATCTACCAAAGGGTTACTCATAATTAGATATAATATTGTCAGGTGTTTGATATTTCATTGAATTTTATTTGTTTGTTTTGCCAGTATACCATACAGTGTCAAATGGAAAATGCATCAGCTGGAGGAGGAGAAGCTTTCAGTAATAAATTTGGAACAGTGGAAGCCAGCACCTCCACTGGTTTTCACCAAGAGAACCAGAGAAAGTGAAAACCTATAAACCCAAAGTTGTTTTTGCCAGATTTAATTGAAACTATTTGTATATGGCTCTTCACTCGTGAGATCACATGAATCCAGTTCGCCATTCACATTGACTAATGTCAAAATTCCAGTGAAAAGGGAACTGTTTAGGAGAGAATTGCATTTTCCAACTACTCTCTGTGTAAAGATTTTTTGTGTTTATCTTGAATTTGTACTGTCTTGTTATTGACTCAGCAATCCTCTGTTGCTGTTTACCCTTTCATAACCCCACTTCATAACCTTGAATTGCTCTAGCAGGTCACGCCTTAACCTTTTCAGCTCTAGTGGAAAAAAGCCTGGATCTATCTGGCCTCTTTTCATAACTGCAACTCCTCACCCCAACAATGTGTCACAAGAATCTCAAAGATTGGTCAAGCTGAAGAAGGCGATTCGGCCGATCCAATCTCATTACTCCAATGTACTCACCTTCCCTCCATCACTGCATCAAGCTGCTTTTTGAATGAATGGCGTGTACTGTCCTCTACTGCCTTTTCTGGCAACCTGTTTCAGTTGGTGATTAACCTCTGTGTAAAGAAAAAAACCTTTTTGTTGCTTTGATATTCCTCAATGAGGCTCCAACATTGGGCATAATACTCCATCTGTGGCTTGTCTTAGGATATTGTACAATTTCAACATTACCTCATGCTTTGTATTCTGTGCTTTTAGATATAAAACCAAGATTCTCTACTTTCTTTTATTATTTTTCCAAAATGTACTATTTCATATTTTTCTACATTGAACTGTAATTTGGTGTCATCAGCATATTTCAATATTATATCCTGAATTCTTTAGTCCAGATCATTAATGTATATAGCAAATAAGACTGCCGAACAATGGAAAGGTTATTCAGTATGAGATTGAACTGTTTATAAGACTATGTTTTCTTTATTCTGCTAATAAATTAGAAGTTTATTAGTTACATACTAAACAACCACATTTGTAATTTTGTGAATGCACCTGACAACTGCACTCAATTCAATAACATTAGATCCATTCGATTATCCCCTGATAAACACTGTATTTCATGTAATAAATCTCGTTTTCTTATTATTAAGTCAATTCACGTTACAGCATATTCTGTGAAGCGCTTTGTGATGTCTAGAAGACGTGAAAAGTGCTATATCAAATGCAAGGATTATTATTATTATTATATGATCCCTATAAACAGAAATACAAGATAATAACATATTCAAAGAATTGTTTTGTTTTTTTGGTCTGACACATGTGGGAACCCATCACCATGCTTAAGAGTATCCAAACCAAGCTGAGATTTCCATGCATCCCATCTACACATGGAAATCCCAGAAATAGATTGTTGGAATGGAATGTGCACTCTCTCCCTGGAGGGATGCATCCTGCTTACCTAATTCAAGAGAGTATTAGGTTGGAGAAAGCCAAGGCTTAAGGACAGCAGAGGTGTGCATTGGGGTACTGCTACAGTTTAATCAGCTAAAACTACACAGTGTGCCATTGAGATTACTGACCAGCAAACCTCCTGGTGAGTGTCCAGCTTGGACCATGCTAGCAATCGCTTTGACTTGCAGGGTTAGCAGGAGCTGGGAAGTAAGAATTCCTTACCTCCAGTGACTGGTCTGCCCTTTCAAGTCCTGCTGATGAGCCAGACTAGCTCATCTGACATCAGCAGTGCCTTGTAGTATTATTGACCCTCCTGACTCAGGATCCAATCTATCAAGATCTGCACAGAGGGCTGACTCAATTCTGAGATTCCATGGCCAAGTGCATCACCTTGGAGTGAAGCAGAATAATGCTGACAGTGTGTCCATGCTAAAAAACCTAAAGTCCATTATCCCATGTTGCCCTGTATTACTGCTCTCCCCAAACTGGTAGGTATTCTGGAGAAATTAGATCAGATGGGCTGAAGAGCCTTCTTCATCCAGAATAATCTTGTGATCTTGGGGTAAAATTTGTGATGTTTTAATCTTTGCATTGTGTTATTTTATGTCATCATAAAGAGCCAATAGGTGGCAGCATCCATCCTTCTTCATCTGGGAAAGTGGAACACATTTCTTCAAAACTGATTGCCATCTTGGTATTCATAAAGTAGAAGTACAGAAGGTCTCCTCAGCAAAGTCTCCTCCTCTTCTCATTGCTGGAAAATAAATGTTGAACAATTTTTTTTAAAACGGAACTCTTACAATTTACAAAAAAAGGGCTTGCAATTTACAATTAGAGTTATCTCCAATGATCTTATTGGGGAGGACATTTGCAGGACTAAGGGGAGAGAGCAGGGGAGTGGGAAAGATTTGGATAGCTCTTTTCAAAGAGCAGACACAGACACGATGGGCCGAATGGCCTCCTTCTGTGGTGTATAATTCTATGATTCTATGTTCTGGTCTGAAGACAAAAGTTCCATCTAATGGGAGGGATGTGCTGCCACCTAGTGTCCATTTTGTCCAGTGTAATGTAACGGAACCTAAGGCTTTAAGTGTTTCAAACATTATCCCTCATAATATTATTGGCATATTGACATCCAATGATTCAGAGCTTATGTAAAATGGTAAATAAAATATTTTTCTACTTTAACCACACTCAGGAGGCGGGGTTTGGGTGATGACAGTGTTTATTTATATTTTACATTTTTATGGCAATTTACATTTAACATTCATATAGTACTTTTACATTGGGAAGTCCCTAAGCTATTACAATTTAGAATACTTCCAGGTAATTTTGTAAAACATATTTGCCTAAATGCAAATATGTTCTCTATTATGCTGAGATGGATAATGAACATTGCTGACAAACAGATGATAGTATTTGGGGTTGGAAACAAATCATCAGTGGAATGCAGCTTATTTTTTTGCATTTATAGCACGAGGAACACACAAAGTCAGACTTTCATTTGCTGCAATTGGCTCCATTGATCAAATTAGCACATGTTCTGTTTTGGGAAAGATAACATTTAATACTGTGGAAAGATTAGTCACTACCAGAACAATTTTCATATGGGAATTGTAAAACAGTTTGTCAATTCATGGTCTGTTACACTATCAGCCTCCAAATTACTTGCAAAGGTATTTTTTCTGGAGGATTAGTTCAAATACGTATTCAATGGGTAACCTAGAATGTATTCTAAAATGATTAATTTATTATGGGTTTGACAGAAAAACTATATTGGGTTATCAACAATGTGTTGCCAAAGATGTATTAAAACAGTATTTCTCCTTCATTATTCTCCACTATAGTATGCTCTAGGCTTTCTAAACTGAAAAGTTCCTTGTATCACTGCTCTGTTGGTATCAGCTTCTTCAGTTTTGTGAATTCACCTCCTGCTGTTTTTTGACTTGACAGCTGAATGTGATCTTCTTCACAATGTTAAATATTTCCTCTTATTTCTAGAGACTGTGCTAAGCAAAGATGCCATTATAGCATGTGCCTCTGTTGTTGGGTGGTTTAACTTCCTGTGCTAAAGGTGGCTGACCCATGTCATGTCTCCTTGCTAATTACGTTCATATCTCCTCTGTGAACCTGGGTCTAATTTTCTGATTAGATTTGATTGTATAGTTAACTTCCTTTTACTCCGTCTTGGCATGTGGACGACATTGGCAGTGCCCATCCCTGCATTTCCTGAGAAGGAGGGGGTGGGCTTCCTCTTTAAACCAGTGCAACCTTGCGTCGATCATATTCCCATTGTATTGTTTTGTACAGAGCGTGCAGCAATGAAAGAGCAATGTTATAGATCCATCAGGATAGCAAGTGACTTGGAAGCGAACATGGAGGTGCTGGTGTTGCAATGATGCTGCTGCTCTTGTATTGGATGCTGGGGGTGGAGGTCACAGGGCTGGAAGATAATATTGAAGCAAGTTTGTTGAGCTACTGCAGTGTATTCTGCAGAAAGTCCACATCAGTGCATCTGTGAGAGGCTATAGATCAGTGGTGGCCAAACCGTGGCCCACAGGAGCATCAAGAAGTGATCCGCTGAACATTCGCAGTAGTCTAGGTACGTCTGTGTTAAATCAATATCTTGTTAGTAGCTACTGAGTAGCAGGAGCTATGTGTGGTCCTAAATCAAGAAATATTCAATCAAGAATAATGTATTCGGTTGGTCAACCAGAAATGTTGGCTATCACTGATATAGATGTAATAGATGTTGATCTGAGTGGCTGAGTTGATTGTTTAGATTATTAATAACAGTGAACATCATTTATCTCTGATGTTTAAATAATTTTCCACGAAAAGGAAGTTAAAAGTCCATGGCGCTGAAAATGGGTTAAGCTACAGTTGCATTGCAAATTTGACTAAACATGCTTTTGTATCAAAAAAGTCCAAAATTTTAAGTTCCTAGAGATGTCAAATTCCACAATCATATCCGATATTTAATGTTACCCTAGAGTTGTTTTATATTGTCAGCCTAGACTTGGAGCCAATGTCCTGACAATAGGCATGAGTAACCCAACAACAACAACAACAAGATTCCATTTATAGAGCACCTTTCACGTCGGGAGGACGTCCCAAGGCGCTGGACAGTTGGGTCAGGACCCGAGCAGGGGGGAAATGGTCAGGGTGAGGGGAGGGAAGGGAGGGAGCGAGGAGGGGGTAGAGAGTTGAGAGAGGAGCATGGTTGTTTGTGGAAGTTAACCCCATGTCTGCGGATGATGTCACCAAGGGGGAGCATATAGAGGGTGAAGAGGAGGGGACCAAGGACAGAGCCTTGAGGGACACCACACGAGACAGTGCGGGGGCCGGAGGAAAAGCCGTTTGTGGAAACAAAATGAAGACGATGGGAGAGGTACGACCTAAACCACTCAAGGACAGGGCCTTGAAGGTTGAGGTGGGAGGACAAGCGGTGGAGGAGGATAGTGTGGTCGACCGTATCGAATGCTGCCGATAGGTCGAGGAGGACGAGGAGGCAGAGGGAGCCCTGGTCGCAGATGGTCAAGATGTCATTGGTGACCTTGACCAGGGCGGTTTCTGTGCTATGGGCAGCACGGAATCCTGACTGAAGGGGTTCGAATAATGCATGGGTGGAGAGGAAAGAGTGCAGCTGGGAGGCAACAATTCTTTTAAGGACCTTGG